GTGTGTGTGTGTGTGTGTGTGTGTGTGTGTGTGTGTATGTGTGTGTGTGTGTGTGTGTGTGTGATTTCACACTTGCCTACATAGAATATGCTATACCCAAGAGTGATTTGCCTCAAATTGAGCAACCCCCTGAAAAGGCCAGAAACATCTCCGTGATTCATCAGCCTACTGAAATATAATAAATCGGACCAATCTGTTGTAGGGATAAAGTTCTTTGGCAACCTTTCCTGGATAGATTTCTTTAAATCTAAGTTTGGAGATATAGTAAGTAAAACACCTATGACAAACGTTCTTTCCACTTCCATGTCTTCACATATGCAAAATTCACATTGAAGGTATTATCCTAGAAAACATTAAAGGAAGATTTGGAATTCATGCCAGTAGATTTGAAATGCTATATTTAAAGAAGTAGATTTTGATATCATGATGCTTCCATCAGTGTCTGGTCTCTCTAGATACTTTACTAATCTTAATACATTTAAAGAATTCTGAGCATTTTTAAGAGCAAATTGAAACACTGTAACTGTGTCAATCTAAACTCACTCTTCAGGAATAACCAAAACAAACAGTTACCATAGCTGAATTGGTATGTATATAAAATAGACTGTGGACCATCTGTTAGGACGATCAATTGTGATATTATATGACTATAATAAATACCAGCATTGGTATAAATTACATAGAAAAGTCACAAAGTAAAGGATAAAATCATATCTCCAGGATTGTCCCTCAAAGGCTGCCATATATACATTAAGAGTACTTTTTTTTTTTTTAAGAGGGGTGAGCTAGAGTTTAGCTATTCCTTTGAAAGCTTTTAAAAATAGGGTCAAGCTCACTTTAGGTCTACAGTTATAATAGATACGCAATTTCATCTCTCTTGGGCAATTTACTGCATTCACTTCAGGAAGGAAAGGCAAGAGACACAGAGATGATTCCCCCAGAATACCTCCTGTTCAGCTTGGGAGTTAGTGGAATGCCACCCTTTCTCCAACACAGTTGCTGATGAAAGGGATCTATTAAAAAGAACTGCGTTGGTTTACACTGCAGATTGAATGGAGCATTAAATGACTGCATTAGTATGACTGCAGTGGGGGTAATGATCGCCTCTGTAACATAGTAGTACTTTAACATAGGTGCAATAATTGTTCCAATGTCCTTTTCCTAATTTGTCACGAAATGATATCTACATCTCTCCAACAAATGCCCCACACACGCATCATCTCCCCTCACCCTACAGTTTTATCTCCACCGCTCCCCTCTCCCCCAGCAAGTGTAAACAGATGAGGAAATATGTACTTTGAAATTGTCACCTATGTTTCATGAAGGTTGGGCATTACTGCAAATCACTTAGAATGGCTCCTTGGAGGCGTTTAGCGATACCGCCCACCCATACAGCTCAGATGTTCTTAATTTGATCATGGCACAACCCCCCCCACCCACCCGCCCTTTCCAGTTTGGGCTGTAATTTTCCAAACAGCCATCTCTCGTTTGCAAAAGTTAAAATCAATCCACGGTTACAGAATGCAGACTTTCTGACAGGGTTTCTCTTTGTAGAGCTGCCAGATTGCGACCGATAAACAGGGGACAAAGGGGGAGGGGGAGAGAGAAAGAGAGGAGGGAGAGAGGAGGGAGAGGGAGAGGTAGAGAGAAAGAGAGAGGAAGAGAGAGAGAGAGAGAGAGAGAGAGAGAGAGAGAGAGAGAGAGAGAGAGAGAGAGAGAGAGAGAGAATATCACTTGCTTCCTTGCTTCCTAAGCAGGGATTTGCCTGCGATGCGCGGCGAGAGGACTGCGGCGGCTGATTTACACAGTTGGCGCGGAGGAGGGGCCGGGGGTGCGGGGGGAACAAGCTGGCGGAGGCTCAGGCGATGGGCTGATCTGGGGGCTCCGGAGCGCCGCTCCCTCGGTGCGCGATTTGGGGGCGGCTGATGGATTTGCATTTGTGTTCCAGCCCTGCGTTCCCTATATTGCCTCCCAGTACCCGACCAGGCGCTCCCAGTTTTGGAGCAGACGTTGGTAAGTAACGTGTAATCCGAATTTAGTTATTTCCTAGGCCATTAAAGTGGCACTTTTAAAGCAGGTCAGTCTGAAAAGATGCCGTCGCCGCTGCCGCTGTGAGTGTCTCCTTGGCCTGAAACGTTCGGCGGTCCCCTCCTCTGCCCACCGCGCTTCCTTCTCCTGCTGGAGAAGTAAGGGTTCTTGAATGGTGAGCTGTCAGGGGACGCACTGTGCCAACGGGATCTCTTCGCCTTCGTGCTTTGCCTGAGATCTCTCAAATCCAAATCGGATTTGGTGTGTACAGCCATACTGTTGTATTTGTATCTCCCCCCACCCCCCCTTCAGTGTCTGACCAATGCTGGGATCTGAGATCTAGTCGCCCCCTTCCTGCTTTCTTTCCGCCTTTCCCCACCCCTTTCTTCTCTCATCTACACACCACCCACCCCCACTCCCACCCATCCAAAGGGCAAAGAGCAAAGACACTGGGAAAGAAAAGGGCTAGTTTCATCTTCTCGAATTGAAGGAGGCCTCGGGCAGGAATTGCGCTGTGAGTGACAATCTTTCAGGAAGACAGAAATCCAGAGAACAAACCCGGGTTCTCTGGAACAGCGAAGCTCACCATTGAATCAAGAGCACCGAGATTTAAAATCAAACGACTCCAGTCCTGGGACACTCACGTATCCTGCTTGCCATCGAGGGCGTACGGAGCTGTGATTGTGGGCTCCAGGTCACTGGCATCGCCACGCTAGGTGTGCGCCCCGCTCTCCCATTGGTATGCAGCGACCATTTCCTTGCAAGTCTCAGAGATGGAAATATTTAAAAGGATTCCGATTGTGACTTGGTAGCTTTTCTGAAAGTTGGTGGCCGGAAGAGGAAAAAATACAAGGCTACAGTATGAAGGATACAATTGAACCTCCCAGAGAGTTTGCCCCTCCCGCTGGGAAGCCCCTCGGAGCAAACCTTGGAGATCCTGAGCGCTCTGCACCTATAGGTACTCTCTGCCATCCTTTCCTACTTTGCCTAAATGAAATCATTATGTCTTGTGTGTAGGATGTGCACGGTAGAAAACATAGACTTTGGCCGTGGTATCTTCTATACGTTCACAGGTGCTAGGAATTTGTTGCATTCTAAAACGGGATCAGTGAGGTTTATGGTCGCTGATGAAAGAAGGGGTACTGGAGCCTAAGGTACCCTCGGATCCCTGGGGGGGGGGAGGGAGGAAATTGTAACTCTGCTCCAAATAGGCCAGGTGGCTGATCAAAGGACCCCTCCCCTCGGTGAATCGCTGGGTTGTATCTATCCTAAGAGATAGAAGGGAAAAGGTTTGAGCTTTTATTTATTTATTTATTTATTTTCATATCTAAACAGACCCATTGTGTTCTTCGCCTGGCGACAGCAGAATAGAAAAGAATCTACAGAAGGCTCAAAGCTTTTCAGAAAATGAATGATGCAGCATTTTAATTATATGTTCTAGGGGGATCGTTTTGCTTCCATATTGGAATATTTAGCATTAGATCTGGAGAGAGTAGTGAGCTCCAAGATCCGGCAATGAGGAGGGGGAGGTAGGAAAGGGGCACACTGGGGAGAAAGGGCTTCTTGTCCTCCCTCTGGACAAACAAATGGTGCGGGGGCGCTCGCAGCAGGACGCATAAGAAAACCGGGGCCTCAAGAGTCCACATTCCCTAACTTTTGGAGCCCTCCCTATCTTTTAGACACGTTATCCTGATATAAAGGAAAGGAAAACAGTGAAATAGCTTTAGGACATGGTCAAAGTCCAGAATTTGCAGGGCTGTAGTTCAAGGGAGGACAGAGACTTGATTGCAAAAAGGAAAGAGCATTTACCATCACCGGGAAGCTCAGGGCACCTCCTGGTTACCCATTCATTCCATCAAGTCTTGGGTTCCGATAAGATCCGAGAAACAGTCACCGCCTCTGCACATTGGGCACCTTAGGTGCTGGGGGAGGGGGGAACTGGCAGCTGGGGAGCGAGACTGAATTGCTCTGATTCTGAACTCAGGCAGTCCGTGTTGGTTTGCTTCTCCTCCACTGAGACCTAACCGAGAACAGGGTGGGTCCGGAATATTAAGGGTGTAGAATGTTAGAGAATTCTGCCAGCCTGCTTGCTTAGTTTCTGATTGCTGTTTCCAATCTTAACTACTGTGGGGCACAGGAAACATGTGCGATCATTTTAAATGCAAAATATCATGTATATTTTTATGACTGACTTTTGTTGAGTTAGATTTTTTTTTAAATTTTAGAGTGGAAAGACATTTATACATAAACTATACTTTTCTTTGTATTTGGCTCTGTAAAGAGTATTTTAAGGGAAAGCCATCTCTACCTACTAACTTTGAGCCCTTGGGCAATTAAGGTTAGTTCTTCAGACCAAAACTCTCTCTCTTCCCCCAACCTGTGAGTCCATGACAGGATTGGTGTGTGTGTGTGTGTGTGTGTGTGTGTGTGTGTGTGTGTG